TCGAATCTTGGTTGGGAGGAGAATTGAATGAAAATCAACTTGTTCTCGGAAAAACAATTCATTCTGGATGCGTCCATATTTTCGCCGCTCTCAGTAGTCGAGAATTTTGCGTGAGATAACACAATTGAAACATGTTCTTGCAAAAACATTAGATCATTTCTCCTCTGTAATGCATGGCCCGCCGTAACCAACGTTACAAGAATCACAATGAGTGACTGACAAACCCGACCAGCTGAGGCTCATCATGAATGGTGTACCAACAAGAGCAACGGATTTTGATTTTTTCAATAAAGTGATTTATTCAACAGTTGTCACGTACATAACATGCGATTTAAGAATATGGAAAAGTATTCAAGCAAACAACGTTTATTCATTGTAAAAACGCATTTCAAAAATGGTGAAAGTTTCACGAAAACAGTTTGCTAATTACGTAACAGTAATACAGTAATAACCAAACAATTCGTGTCGGAGATAAGCCCTTTGAATGGATCGGACCATTAGCAGATCCGCGATTTGGAGGGAAGATTACCCTTGTTTCCTCATTTGTGGAATCAGTTCCAACTGGTCGGGCGTTAGATGCGGCATCAAAACTATCAAAATCTGTTCATGATTCGAAAACGTCTAACCCGAGGTCTAACCTGACTTGTCAGTCACTTACTGTGATTCTTGTAACGTTGGTTACGGGGCATGCATTACAGAGGAGAAATGGTCTGATGTTTTTGCAAGAACATGTTTCAATTGTGTTTTCTCACGCACATTCTTGAGTACTGAGAGCCAGGAAGATATGGACGCATGCAGAATGAATTGTTTTTCCGAGAACAAGTTGATTTTCATTCAATTCTCCTTCCAACCGAGATTCGGAGGGCGTTCCAGATTTGGGTCACTTTCAAGAAAACTCTAGATCTTTGATAGCCATCTTGAGTCAATTCTGATATCCAGATCTCTTCATCTGAAGTTTTATCTTCAAAATGAGCCTAAGATTTCCAAAATCGGTTGACGTAAAAAAAAGTTATGACTGCAAAACCAAAAAGTTGATTTTTTGAGATCACTCTGTAAATAAGAGAGATAGGGAGTTGATTCGCGAAATATCTCGAGGTAATGAGATCATCTTCATGCCTCTGTTGTCGAAGTTGAGAAAACAATTTTTTTCACCATTTGAGAGCCTTTTGAATATTCCGAAATTTTGCACAGTGTCGGAAAACACCATGTAGAGGTTTTATGTGAATGCCCTTATATTTCAACGAAGTACGAGATTATAGCTGAAGGACTGGGCTATCGAACAGTGTGAACCAAATTCAAATTGTTCTAAACTGAAAAAAGTTATTCACATTATAACAGAGGGGACATTTTGGTGTGCGACGAAATTAGTGTTGAGTAGTTTATATCATGATGCAGTTCAAGAAAGAACAAAAACAGATCTTTTTCCAAATTAGCATTTTCAGTCACAGGTACTAGAGCTCAAGAAATCATTACCTATATTTTCAGAAATACTTTCGTAATTATTACTCATTTCATAACCTAATAGTTCAGTGATAGTTGAATGATTAAAAATGTACGTAATCTTCACTCTAGATATTAACTCCAACGTTGTGGAACGTTTATGATTTTGTACATGAAATGATCATTCTGAAATCATACTAAATCTCTAAATTATAAATAGGTTTTGGCAACTATGAATACTTTTTTAATATGATTTACCTCCCCAAGAGAACTTTACTCTAAAATTCATTCTGTAGTAGATGAGTACTGAAGTTTTTAAGACGTTGTTGCTATTTTACTAATCACCTACTAATTGAGTAAAGTATCTGTCATATTTGGCGTGAAATATTGGTAATTTCCATTTCGATTACTCCCAATATGAGTAAATTACACTTTTGGATAAAAAAATTCAGTTCCAGCACACCTAGGTGATCAGGTATAGAGTTTAATACTGAATAACATGATAGACAATGATTTCTGGAAGAATGCAGAATACAGTAAAATAATATTTGAGGAAAAAAGCTGTATTTTCTGTGAGTATCTTGAATTTCGAGACTATCACATTTATCGATGAACTGGCTGCTGCTGCTTATATTTTGAATGCAGGATTTTTATATTTATTTTGTTTATTATCAGTATGTGATATTCATTATTGGAGTAATACGGAGAAAAAAGCTCAAAAGAATATGATTATGAAACATTATAATTTATTATCTGCTGAAGAACAGAATTAGGACAAGAGGAATGAATGTATATGGACAAAGCACTCAGAAAAGTGCCATCATCAAGAAAACTCAAATGAGAAAACTACTTCCAGAAACCCCGAGATTTCAAAGAAAAGAGTTGATGTGGCGAAAGATCATGCAACAATAGCACATATGGAAAGAATTGTATATACCTAACGCCTTTTTATGCGACAACCTCTTTTGTTGGGAGGCTTTACAGCTGCCAAAAATTGGTACTCTCCCCTCGAAAGGGTACCTGTCGTGGTTTCATGACTAACAATTGTATATACCTTGGTAACAAAGAATTTTTAGAACATTAAAAACGTTCCACTGCAACGGTCACAATATTTTATCACAGACCAAAAATTTTCGGACAAAAAAAATGAAAAATCCAAGGAACAGGGTGGGTATTTATGATGAATCATTTTGTGAATACATTTTATATTTCATCAACTCTTGATATACTCAATCGTGTCATTAATTATCTTAGGAACTAGTTATGATCATTTCACATTATTTAGAGGCAATGGACACTTCCTCAATTGTTTTTTGAGTGAACTCGATTATGACTTGAGAAGCAACAAAATTATATGGACACTTTTTTCATTTCCTATACATATAACAAAATCGCACGATTTAATTTTTCCTCTCCATCTCCTCTACAACTATAATTGGTACTGAATACAATGAATATTAGACGGAAAAATTTAGTTTTGAATTAGGAATAATCTAGAAATTCATTAATATTATGAGCATGAAGAAATGAACTACTTGCTATCGTTTATACTGTTCACGTACGAGTATCAGTCATTTCAATATTGAATTATCAGTTTTCATTGAATAGATGACCGGAGCAATAATACAGTAATTGTGACGTCAGTTACCGCTCACCGTATATAGTATTCTATCTGAAAGGAGCATTTCCCTGGATATTAATTTTGGAAAAGCTGAAAGGAATGTGAGATTTGAAAAAATAATTTGTCGCTACCCATCCAGATGAATGTTATAGCATTTTTTCTAGAAATTAGTTCTCTAGCTCATTCTCCTTCCAATCTATTTCCAATTCACAACTTCTTCAGCATTATTTTTCATAGAATCAGGATGGTTTTCACATTGAACTTAACAAAAAGAAAACTCAGTAGGAAATGAATGTATAGTATTCTATCAAACGGGAGCATATCTCTGGAAATTAATTTTGGGAAATCTTAAATGAATGTAACATTCAGAAAAATTATCTATCTCCTTGCTCATCGAGATAAATTTTATAGTATTGTCTCTAGAAAATTCTCCTTGCGGTATATAACGATTGGATTTTCTAATGACAACGTTTTCAAGCATCATGTTTTGTAGAATCAGGATGGTTTTTACATTGATCTTCACAGAGAGAATATACTTAGTAGAAAGTCAACACATAAGCTGTGTACCATTGTCAATCCTATTCACTGTATTCCTTTTTCGGCTAAGTAATATATCAACTATCTTTGAACTATGGAATATAATAATATAATTGATACTTTGGCTGAACACTGTATTAGATTTGAGAACCCAAATAAGAATCCTGATAATGGTGGTCACTATGGTTTTGATAATCTGATATTCGAACCCATTATCTTGATAAAAATCGTTGTCTGAGATCTTTATTCGATTCATGCTCTGAATGCGATCCAACTCCGTATTTTGAGGAAAACTTAATGACACGGGATTAATAAGATGTTGAGTTAATTGCTCTTTGTTGACTATTCATTTTGTTGTATTCTATGGATGCCTGCACTATTGTCCACGTATAACCAAGCGTGCACTATAAGGATTTAATAATGGAAAGTTGCACGTTTTATTCGGTACCATTTTCGCAAGTTAAATGAACTTGACTTGAAAAATGAATGCCATAATTTCTTGGCAGCTGCAGAAGAAAATTTGGAAAAAAGCACTCAAAAAAAGTGCCAATATCCTCGGGAAATTTCATTGAGGAAACTACTTCCAGAAATACCGAGATTATCAAGAAAAGGGTTGATAGGCCTAAAGATCAGGCAACAATGACATATATGAAAATCACTGGATATACCTAACGCATAAGAAGGCGACAACCTCTTTTGTAGGGAGGCTTTACAGGCGCCAAGAGTTGGTACACTCCCCTCGAAAGGGTACCTGTCGTGGTTTCATGCCAAAAAATTGGATATCCTCAGACCATCCCTTTTAAACCAAGAATCTTCAGAATTGAATACGATTCTCCTCAACTGCCAAAAAACTATGATGCTATTGACCAAAAATATTCGGACGAAAAAATCCAAGTTACAGGGTGGATAATTATAGAGAAATGTTATAGTTCTTCAACTCTTGATATATACTACATCTTATTACTAACTGTCGCGGGAACAACTAAAAATCTTTCAATACAATTTGGTGGCTATGACATTTTCACAATTGTTTCATGAGTGTTGAGTTTATTCGATTATGACTCGAAAACTAATAAAAGGAAATCAATACTTTTTTTATTTCCTATACATAACGATATCGATTGATTTTATTTTTTCGCTCCTTCCCCTGTACAACAACTGGTATTGAATAAAAATTTTACATAGATTAATGAAATTACGAATCAAGAATAATCTAGGAATTCATTGAATATTATGAACATGAATAAATAGAGTACTAGGTGTTGGAAAGCTCGTTGGAAAGTTATGTTTTTAACAATAATGTTTTTTTTTTCAGTTGAGCGGTTCTGAGTTGGTACCAGACAAAATGGTTCAGAAACAACCATCCTGATTCAACGGGCTATTCAAGACAGACAACCACCAAATGGAGTGTAAAAACTTTCTTAGGACATTTTGTGGACATTTCGTCAAGATCAAATTCAAACCTCTAACGCCAAATACGTGTTCAAAGTGTTGTGTGCTAGTGATGGTACTGATATTCAGTTCAACTGTGAATTTCGTTCAGTGTAATAAACCACCCAGATTCATAACTGACGGTCTAACAGAAATCGTTTTGAAACTGAAAGAAGGAGATGAAAATCCAGTGGGTACGTAGAATATTTTTTGATGGTCTGTGTAAATATGTTATAATATAGTCATAAATTGAAATAGATTTGTCTGGAATGCTGACAACCATTATGACATCAAAGATCACTTCCCAAAATATACAGGGTGAGTCAAAAATGTGTACCGAGCTTCCTGGGGCTGATAGAACATTGAAAAATAAGTGTAGTTTGATGAATAAACTTATGGCCCAAAATGCATATTAGGGAGATACGTCCTTCCAAAGTTGATGAAATTGAAATAATTTCTCCGTATAACTTCTAAACGATGGAAGCCACCCGATTGAAATTTTGTACATGAATGTATGTTGTCGAAATACATTTTTTCGTTGTTATAAAAGGTGTTTTCAGAGGGTGAGTTATGATTTTATGAAGATAACGTTTTTCCTTGTTTTATTTTCGGTGAAACAACAGGAGCCTCTGATAAAGCGAAGAAAATTACATTAAAATACAATACAAATATGAAGAGTTGAACCGTTCTCGAGATATTTGAGTATTTGTAGTGACATGATTTCAGCAGATTAATTCATCGCGAGATTCATCGGTAACGATATTTTAGCAGGCCCTGATGAATAATTTTGTTTTTAATTTTGACGTTCATGTCATCCATATTCGAGTAAACATTGTAGTAGTTGATTTGTTCATGTGGTTTTTCTGTGTTATATTATTACTGCGATTTTCAACTGAGATTTTAATAGCGATCATAATAGTGTATCTATAGATAATGATGAATGTAAAGATACAAGTTCAGAGGAGAACATCGTTAAGAAGGAAACGATTACCTCATATGGTAGAGTGTCTAAACCTCCTCAGAAATTGGATCTATAATAATCATATGTTATTTTACTTTACAAAGGAGAGGAATGTAGGGTATCCTGTATAGTTATAGAGTATATATTATAGAGAGTGATTCTCCATTCTATCAAATCTATTTCAATTTATGATTATATTATAACATATTTACTGGAGCGTAGGTTCGAATCCTACCGACTGCGCCAGGTGAATATTGACTGTATATTCTAGGGTTGTGAAGTATTTGTTAGGAGCTTCAAGAAGATGTATCACTATATCCCCCTTTCCATCAATTTTTTTCCCGGATAGCGCCCAGTCGCCATTTTGAAGTTCTCATCTGTCAATTTGATTCCAAAATATAGTATTCATGCAAAAATTCCATCACTTCAAGTTTCGTTGACCCTTTCGAAAAATAAAGGGGGGACATTGAAGAAAAGCATTTTTCAATAAACTAGGTAGATATACTATTATACAAACTGGGCCTTACCATATTAATTCTTCCCTGTACCACGTGATTCAATAAGGGTGACGAGGTACTGAATTTCAGGGCATAATGGTTTATAAACGTTAGAACCAGAATGGCATGAATGGTTTTTTCTTTTCCTAACCGAACCTTCCGTTCTATGAACTGAATAGGAAGTGCATTTTGTGTAAATGTTATCGTTTGTGAAGATTTTCTTGAGCTCTTACAACCACTGGCGATATGTTCCTCACAGATATCAATATATTAGTGTCATCATCAAAAAATCACATGAAGCTTTTTCGCATTTTGGGTAGATTGATCATTAATAAAACATAAGAATAAAAGTGGTCCCTGAACAGAGCCTTGGGGAACTCCAATCGATACACATCTTGAATTCGATCACGAAATTGAATTATCCATTCTGACACAGACAATTCGGGGTTATGTTATTCTCGTTTCATGAGTATGACATATTGAAGCTTGGCATATTGAAGCTTGACAGATCGAAAATGTAACACCCTGTATTTATTTGCAGGTTCTGTGATACACACATTGAGAGGCTATGATCCAGATGGAGACTATTTGAAGTTCGGTGTCAGTCCAACGTTGGGAAGTGACGTTATCAGGGTGGAAAGCATATCTGCTATCGAAGCAAATATTTACCTCAATAAAGAACTTGACAGGGAGGTAAGTTAAGAAAGTCAGTCTGGTGCTTGAATGTACCATAATAATAATCATATTGTCTATTTTCAGCTTCTTCCGAATTGCCGATATGTCTTTTCTTTATATTGTACAGTGTGTCCAGTTTTCGATGCTTTTGCGTGATATCTCAGTTATCTTTCGAGATAGAACCTTGCGGTTTTCGCGGTCCTGTGAAACTCAAGATGGCCTAATCAGATTTTGCATAACTGTTTGCGTTTATGAGATACAGGGCGATTTTGAAAATTTATACTTTTTGGACCCCCTCTATATCTACGAAGTTTCTCAGCGAAAATGTCAAATTGGAATCTTATCCCATACAGAATTTTGCGCAGAATTCAGTGGCGCACTCAATTTTTTTTTCTGGGTATGGTTTCGGAGATACGACTCAAACTTATGATTTTTTAAATGGAACACCCTGTATTTTATAAGCTCATTAAATTCCTTATTCTATTCTGTCTGCTGTTTTTTCATCAGCAGACAGAATTCGTCTCTATTTTTCATTTATAGTTGTCGAGGCCTTATCAGTAAGATTGAAATTGAAGAAGCGTGTGGAACTTGTCAAATTGCAAGTAAGCATTCTCAGAAAATTTAGACGATTAAGTAGCTACTATCTGCTAGATTATGAATTTTATAACTGAAATAGTGATAATTGGCCATTTCGGTTCGGACTGGTTTGTTCATATTATTTATATTGTTATAGATATACAGGTTGTTCCAGTAGTAATGACTTATGTCTCATATTGATATTCTAGGAAAATAAATGGTGGCATTGATTACACTGAAGTCTAATTGCTAATTTTGAATAACAGTAACAAGAAGCTTCTATCAATGTGATTAGATTCAGGATAAATAATTATCTGCTACCGATAAATTCTTCTTCATTTATATACAGGGTGGCCCACGGAAAACGGTACATTGGATTATCCTGAAAATTTGGTTACTCTAATAAGCGTTTGTGATCTAACGATTCACAATATTTTCAGCGGAGCAGCGTTGTCACTTTCACCAAAAAGTAGCATCATTTTTGTTATTTCAAATGTACCACCCTGTATTTCATTGCGTTTTTAGATTCTTCTCGAAAAGCTGATTTCATCAATGTATCACACTTGGGGTCTAGCAGGAATTATTACAGAGATATAGGGTGTTCAAAATCTAGATTTTTCAACTTTAGGATTTTTTTGTGTCGAAACTATTCATCATTGGTCAAAATGGCTTATAACTTTTGATTAACTAAATTCAACTTTAGCTCCTAGGGATTGAAGTTCAACTTAAGCTCCTAGGGATTGAAGTTCAACTTTAGCTCCAAGGAACTGAATATGTTGCCAAGCAACATAAGTATTTTTGTGTCGGTTGCAGAAAAACGCATTTATCCATCTCGTTTCCACAGGTGCAAGATGAGTACGCCCTTGTACTGACCTTGACCGACGGTCATATGGGCCGTTCCAACTACGTCACTCAGCGCCTGCTTATCCTGGTGGAAGACATCAACGATAACACCCCTGTGTTCAAGGGCTACCACCCCACAGTTAGCCTACCTGAAGACACCCTCCCTAGCGTTGTTGCCTCCTTGGAGGCTACTGATGAGGACCAGGGGCCGTACGGGCAGGTGGTGTACTTTTTGCAAGATAAAGAAGGGTTGTTCACGGTGGACACGGTTGGAGAGAAGGCTGTGGTGCGATTAGTTGGTAAGTACCCGGGAACGCACCATGTGCGTTTCGCTGAATATTTCAGAAAATAAACTGGTCAACATTGATAACGTCGTGCTTCAAAATATAGCATGAATTCAAAGTAGAATAACTCACGAATTTCCTCTCCAATTTGGAATCGGTTTTCACCGATAATTAGCCTAATCTCTTGACAGTTTGTTGTGGCAATATGAATCGTCTGTAACTTCAGATAACATTGATACAGGGTGATAATTGAATGGGTGTGAAATTGCATCGTGGCCGTCACCTTACCGTTTGAACAGATAATTTTTTTATTTATTTTTTCTCACCTGTATCCTCTTGATTGATGCTTTCTCTCGAAATATTTTCGGAATTTTCAAATTCAGAGCTTTGATAATCGTGTTATTAATATTCATTCAGAATTACGATTAATTGAATGAAATTGAAAGTCTTCAACGTTGTATGTATAGTCGTCGGATATGTGATCGTGTTCGAACACAGAAAATTCTGAAAAAGTATGCAGTCTCTTTCATATATTTCTAGTGGAATAATGGAGTGTTACTTCGTCATGAGGATGTCTGGTGTCTGACCTCGAAATGGTTTTGTAATTTCTTGAATCGAAGGTCATATAATGAAAGTACGCATTTTTAATCGAAATGATGCATTTTGACGATGGATGTACAAGGTGCGATAAGAAATATGTCCAGATTGTCCCGGGATGACGAAGGATATGTTTAAAAGTGATGAACATCGCTATTTTCCGAAAAAGAAATATAGGTCATTGTCGAAACTTGTGAAATATATAAATACAGTAACTTTTCATGAGGCGCTCCTTGAATAATACAGATCTCTAAACTGAACTAGAAATGATTTATTCAATGCATCACACTTGGGGTCTAGTAGTAATGATTACAGAGATATAGTGTGTTCAGACTCGAGATTTTTCAAGTTTAGGATTTTTTTATGTCGAAACTATTCATTATCGGTCAAAACAGCTCTCATGTCCCTATCTCAACTTTTGATTTACCATCTACTGACATTTAATTAAAACAGATATAGGGTGGTTCAAGATTCAAAATTCTGATAATGAATAGTTCAGAGCTCAAGTGTGGTACATTGTTGAGATCAGCTCTTCAGGGAGAATCTGAAGATGCAATAAATATAGTGTTCCATTTGAGAGAATTTCTCCAAACCACGTGACTCGGCTAGCCAATCAGAGGCCAGCATTTGGTTGGAACCGCCATCTACATGTGGATCCAGGAAACCGGGTTCAGAGAAAAAAATTGAAAATATACAGGGTGTCTCATGATTAACATATCCCATTTAGTAGATTTCAGCCAACGTATGACATGACATTCGACAGATAGCTCACATATGATAGATAATATGAGCCGTTAATGATACTTCCGGTGCTCATTGAAACTATACGATCTGGTTCAACTAACGTTCGACGTATGACATTCAACAACTGACGTATACCACGTGACCTTCCGGTACTCCTCGAAAGCAGGCACTCAAGCCGTCGAAATGGCTAACGGTTCAAGATGGCGCTCGAATGACGATACATATGATGTTTGACAGAGGACGTACACCACGTGACCTTCTGGTGCTCGTTGAAAGCAGACACTCAGGGTCGACATAACCTACGAATTTGAACCAAAATGCATGACTATCGATTCGAAATGGCACACAACTGACGATATACGTATGATGTTTGACAGATGACGTATGCCACGTGACTTTCCGGTGCTTGTCGAAAGAAACACTCAGGGTCGAAACGACCTACGAATTTCAATCAAAATTGCTATCGATTCAAAATGGCGCTCAGCAGATATCATGTGAGACGTTTGGCCTATTAGTTATTGCTTCACCGATAGCAAACGCCCATATTCAGCGCAGCCAATGTACACTACATATACTTCCGGTACCATTAAACTCGTCTAAACAGATATTGAGGTTCGACATAACCTACGAATTTCAATCAAAATGGCTACCAATTCAGAATAGCTACCAATTCAAAATGGCGCTCAACTGACGATACATATGATGTTTGACAAATAACGTATGTCACATGACCTTCCGACTCAGGTCCGACATTACCTATGAATTTCAATAAAATGGCCATCGATTCAAAATGGCGCTCAAATTAGGTAAAACAATGGAGATTACGATTTCCTGCCTCAAAGATATATTTTTCTGCTGTGTGTGATTGAATAACAATCTTTCTCTCTATAGGAGTATTATTTAAATCTTCATTTGTGTTGGACATGTGATTCTGTATGTGTTTTCATTGCCAAAAAACCTGTGTGTGTTTGAAAAGTGCATGAAAAAACTAGATACTGGAGCGGCCATTACTGCATAGATGGACGCTACTCGCTCATTTCTGGATATAGCTGTTTTTCAATGAAATTGGTAAGTTGCTCAGTTTTCTGCTTTTCAGCCAAACAAGGCATCAGTCTTGGACAGGTAGATATTATTTGAAAGGACACGAAAAACTATAGTTATTAAAAAGCATTGATTCTCAGCAGCGATTTCATTCCAGTTTATCCAAATTATTGTACTTATTTACAGAAAATCATTCAACTGAGTTGAGAAATTTCAAAAATGCTTAGCATGAATTTTGGGGAACAAAAACAACAGAGGCCAGTTCACAAACATCACCAATAATAAGCGAAAACTTTCAAGAAATCTGTGTAATAATAACTTGATATACAAGGCGTTTCGTAAGATTTCCTTTTTTATATTTTTCTAGTTCCGCTAACAACAGAAATTTCATTTTATTTAAATACAGGGTGTTTCGTGAAACATTTGGATTTCCAGTTTTATATTTTGTTAGATTTCAGCTAGCAAAAAAACATACATCTTAAATAGGATTTTATTCAGATACAGAGTGTTTCGGGAATCATTAGAATTTCCAGTTTTATATACTTCTAGATTTCAGCTACCGAAAAAGCATACATCATCTGAAATAGTATTTTATTCAGGTACAGAATATTTTTCGCTAACAACAGAAATTGAATTTTATATAAATACAAGGTGTTTCGTTAAACATTTGGATTTCCAGTTTTATATTTTCCTAGATTTCAGCTAACGAAAAATGCATACATCTGAAATAGGGTTTTATTCAGATACAGGGTGTTTCGTGAAACATGAGGAATTCCAGTTTTATATTTTGCTAGATTTCAGCTTACGAATAAAGCATACATCTAAACTAGTATTTTATCCAAATACAGGCTGTTTTTCTAGAGTTCCGGTAACAACAGAAATTGAAGTTAATTCAAATACAGGATGTTTCGTGAAGCATTTGAGATTTATTGAGATTTCTTCAGTTCTATATTTTGCTAAATTTTCAGCTAACAGAAGAAGTAGGAATTTCATGTCCATTCAGAGTTGTCTCTGTCGTAGATACAGAGTGAATAAAAACAAGAGTTTTCAAACGATGGTTCGTTTGTTAAAACTGACATCTTTAGTGTTCTTTTTTCGCCATGATGTTATGAAAACAAGTCAAATCTAGGATTTGAGAGTGACTTCTGTTTGTTTCGGCTTCTGTTTGAAAAGTTTTCCAATTCCAAATTATAAAGTATACTGAATATTTCGGCCTTTAGAAAAAAGTTTTTCAATTACAAAGTATACAGGATGTTGGGATTTCCTTGAAGGTGCTTTAGAAATACCTGCTTGTCCACTTTGGAATTTTCGATTTTATGCCTTGATTTCGACCGAAACTGCCAATACATTCAGTAAAGGAATTCAATGGGCGTGATGGGTCAATGAAAAATGTAAATATCTATCAAATACCTAATTGACAGATGGGACAATCACAAAACAATCTATTTCATTTTTTTCTTGAAACAATAATCTTCAAACCATGCTGTGAAACTGTAGGCGCCTATCCCTTTTCTATCGGTGCTCTAGTCTCCGATTACATGATGAACCCGCTTTTTGTGGCAGAAAGAGCAGAAACTAGGTTTGCAGTCACTGCAATTGCATGGTCTACCCCAGTCACAGTTTGGCATTGCTGATTACGTCTGTACTGTTGGAGAGCTGACGAAATACTGAAGAGCTGTCACACTGACATTAACAGTTGGTATGAGACCTGAAACATAGTATAAAAGCTCGTTTCCCCCCACCACCCTCGAGGTAAAAGCCTTATCGCGTTTGTTTTCTTTTTTTTTTCGTAGAAAAGCATCCCCTATAGGCCTATACAAAACCACACGCTCCTAAAATTTGAGGTGAATAATTCATTATAGAACAGGTGACTGTTGCTATGAAGGCAGAGCAGTTTTCGTTTGTTCTATTTCTAGCTGCACGAAGATCAATTTCTTATTTAGAAGAAATACTTCATTAATTTGCCAGATAATGCCTCTTTCTAGAACAGGTGACTGTTGATATCGAATCAGAGCAGTTTTTGTTTGTTCTATTTCTAGCTGCACGAAGATCGATTTCTAAATCAATAGAAACACTTCTTTGATTTGCCAGATCGTTGGGTTCTTTTTTCATTGAACTATTCACCTAAACTTTGTAAAGCGTGTGGTTTTGTAAAGGCCTATAGGGGATGCTATTCTACGAAAAAAAAAACGCGCAAAAATTTTACTTCGAGGGTGGTGGAGAAACAAGCCTTTTATACTATGTTTTAGGATTCATACTAACTATTAATGTCAGTGTGACAGCTCTGCAGTATTTCGTCAGCTCTCCAACAGTACAGACGTAATCAGCAATGTCAAACTGTGACTGGGGTACACCATACAATTGCAGTGACTGCAAACCTAGTTTCTGCTCTTTCTGCCACAAAGAGGGGGTTCATCATGTAATCGGAGACTAGAGCGCCGATAGAAAAGATATAGGCGCCAACTTCACAGCATGCATTTTACTTGGTTCTTTGGGATTTTTTTTTTTCACAACATGGTTTGAAGATCAATGTTTCATGAAAAAAATAAAATAGATCGTTTTGTGATTGTCTCATCTGCCAATTGAATATTTGAGAGATACTCACATTTTTCATTGACCCATTACGCCCATTG